ATATATACCACAAATGACGCATTCCATACGTATACAGAAAGTACGAAAATTACACCTACATTACTATAGTTACATCCAATTAGAAAGGTGCTTCATGGGGCAGTGCTGCAAAAGTGTACACCACTGACGTTTAGCATCTCCACACACTGAATGGAGACTGAACTTTCGTCATGATTTAATGCATCTCTATGAAGGGATGCTGATTGGCCAGAGCCGTTTTTGCTTCCGCTCCCTGGCCCACCTCCTTGGCTAAGGTCATCAGAATTGACAGTCTCAGCCAATCCAAGGCTTTTTTCTATGAAAGCATTGTGATTGGCTGGGATCATCACTTCTGATGTCAGCCAAGCAGGCAGATCAGGGGCAAAATCAGCACCAGGAGACTGTTATAAAGGTAAGATTTTTCTATATTTAGGGGGACCAGTGGGCTAGATAGTGATTTTAACACTATAGGGTCAGGAATGCATGTTTGTGTTCCTTTAAAGAGCAGTTCAAATAGTCCTATGATATAAATATTATTTATCCCATAAGCTCCTCCTAGACAATGAATTATGGGATACAATCTGTCCCTCCCTAGATTAGAATGATAGAATGATTCTGAATCATCCTTGTGTGGGAGGTCCCTGCAGCTGTAGGTGACAAACTGAACAGTGCTAAAAAAGTAAGCAGTTTTATTTTTTGCCAATATTTATTTGTTTTACTCTATACAAAGTATTGACATGCCGTTGGATACAATACCAGATAAGCTGTTACTTATGTTTTTGTCAATATTTTGTGGATTCTATTGCTTGTTTATATGAATGTCCGATTTTAAGTATGCTGCAAATAAACATTTTGCTATATTAAAGGAACACTCTAAGTGCTATAACAACTACAGTGCGTTAGAATGGTAAATCCATTTTAGAACGGTTTTTCTTACCTCGAGTCCAGTACCCACCACTCCCTGCATCCAGTGAGGCATGGAAACTCACTTCACTGAGATGAGAAAAGAGCTAGCTCTTCACTGCAAGGTTTGGCTCAGTGAAGAGGGCTTCTGACCTTAACTGGTCAGGAACGTCTGGCTTCTGCTGAATTGTATATGTAGTTGGGAGAGGTGCCCAGTGGTCTGCAGGTAAATGGTTAGACCTTTTACAATGGGGGCTCAGGGGCACTCCTGGCACCAAAACCACTATATTATGTGTAGTTTTCCTTTAAATATTGTGAACATTGCATTACTCTAAATTAGAACAAATTAGTTTGAGCTGGTTCATCAGAATCCAATTCATGATAATCCTCACACAAATCAATTCGTAATTGTTTTTCTTGTCGAGTCTGTAGATAAAATAGTCGGAATACATTTGTTTTGATATCGATTAACATTAATTTTATTTGGACAACCTTGCGCAGTCTAATTTTTGCACAAATCTACTCTGCTTTTCTGATTGGAACCAATATTTTTAAAGCATTATTTGTACAACACATCATAAAATATTGGGTCATAATTTAACTGTATAACTCCTTTTCAGAATACATTTCCACAGCAGTATCATTATCCAGAATAAACTTGGTTTAATGAAGTACAGACTGTCATTCTAATGAAGAATACTGAATTCTAAACACAATTCTTACAAACTTTTTTTATTATTTCTTTTAATCCACAAACAGGGCCACAACGTGATGCACAAGCAGCAAGAGAATTCATTTTAAAGATGTTTGTAGATCTGAATCCTGACAGTGACAAAATCATCTACTCGCACTTCACCTGCGCCACAGACACAGAGAACATTCGCTTCGTCTTTGCTGCTGTCAAGGACACGATCCTACAGCTGAATCTGAAGGAATATAACCTGGTCTAACTATGCCTGCTAGCTTTCCCTATCTCCATTTGGGCCATTGAAGAAAATACAAGGAGGACTGTATTATCGATAAGAGGAAAAAACAAACAATTTGCATAATACTAATTTATTGCCGTCCTGGACTCTGTGAAAGTCCACAGAGTTTGTAGTAATTATTATGATTTTATTTAAACTACGTAGAGGAAAACAAAAACGTAGCTGCCATATACAGCGGCACAATTTTCTAGGAGAAGACGACGTGTTTTCATTCTCAGTCGTGCACTCACAAGGCCGGTTTAGTTTTTGTGTTTCAAGTTTTAAGAAGGGAGCAGGGTGCTTTCAATTCCGCATGAGGCTCGGAGGCCCTTACTGCCCCAGGGTATTTTACTCTTTTAAAGTAGGTTACTTTTCCCTTCCCCACAATCATTCCTTCCTGAGCCGCTTCTAGTACTAAACAATTAGGCATAATTTTTATTTTATTTAAGCCATCTGCTTTTGCTAATTTATATACTTTTTAAGGATTAAAAAAAAAAAAAAAGTATTGATACTGTGATTTTTAAATTATTGACCTGTATAGAGTAAACTTTTTTTTTTTTTTTTGGTTGTCTTTTGTCACTTCGAAGTATAACTAGAACTACTTACTCAGTGGGTTCAATTTTTTGCCATCCGTTAATTAAGAAACGCAATGGCAAGTGGTTAAAATATATTAAGAAACTCCATGTACCCAAGAGAGGAGAATAGAGTGAGCATGTATTATTTGCAACGTGCCAATGTGGAAGGGAAAGTTTAAAAAAAAAAAAAAAGAAAAAAAAATTATATATATTTTATTATTTTATTTTCGCTTGCACATACAGAATGCCATTAACACTACACCCCAGCTAAATGTTTTTTTTTGTTTTGTTTTTTTAAAGGTATTTCAGATTCTTTTTATTAATTAAGATCAAATTTCCAGTTGCCAAAAGATGGCTTTCTTTTTGTACTGTACATAGAAGATGAAATGCCAAAATAACTCATTAGGTTCCAACTTTATCTGGTGACTGCCAAATGGTTATCTGTTTCACTTAACATTTCTAGGTGTTTTCAAATCCCTTATCATGGTATTCCATTAACTTTGCCAAATAAACAAAAATATTGCATATGCTACCCGTGCAGAGAGCTTCGTATTTAAATATGGTGACTTGAGTCCTTAATCATAGTGTGGTTTAATATGCATAGTTTATTAAACTCTATTTCTAGGTTGGTGGATGTCTGCAACAAAATTTAAATGTGCAATGTATTGCAGGCTTTCATAATTAAAGAATATTTTTGAGGTTTGTGAGCAAACCAAGAGGCCTCAGTGTTGGGAATTAGTTTGCTGTTTAATAATTCTGCCAGATACTCGTATGCTCTTCCTGCAAAAGAAAAAAATTAGTATATATTTCTTTTTTCACTTTAAAGACCCTTAATATTTGTTAAAATTTCAAAAAAGTTGGGAAAGCAAATATATTTAAAGCACACGTCTATCCGTGTTTTCCATTGCACGGCGTTGTATTTTTTTTATTTATTCTCCTCTAGTAACCATTGGCAGATTTCTAGCAAGTGGGGAAGGAAATCAGTTGTGCCATTGGTTTAGTTGCTATGCAACGCAGTGGGTTTACAAATGCTGGAGTCACTGCCTCAGGGATGCAGATAAGGATTGGGGAATCAACAGTAATTGCATACAAGATGTTTACATTTAACCAATTTGGTCCCAAAATAATCTGGGTTTGCCAGACACTGGAAGGATTAAATGCCTGAATGATTAACATTATCTTCATACAAATAAAAAAAGGCAAATTCCTTAAAATAATTATAATTTCCATCCCGCAGCAAACATGTAATTTAACCATTTAAAGTAACAGTTGTAGGTATAGTACAACTCTGAATGCGATAATCATTGTACATACATCTCTCTTACTCTTAATCTCTCCCTCCCCTCCCCCCCCTCTCTCTCTCTCTAAATATATATATATATATGGCAGCATCCATATTGGCTTTGTAATCATTAGTTTTTTGGCAGATTGAATGTGCTGTTATTGATAAATATGTATCTATGTAATTGTATTGTATGTCTAATAGCTAATTCACATTTTGAATAATGTTCATTTTAACTTTTATTTTTTTTAAATTTTTTTTTTTTAAAGAGAGGAGAATGTACATTTTGTCAGTTTATATTAATTGTTAGGGATTTTATCTTTCTCTCCATAGAAATTATGACTTACAAAATGTTACTCTGGTATCAAACAGTACCAAACCTGTGATATGAAGTAAAAAAACAAAAACAAAAAAAATGCATTTCTGAATTGAGGTACATTTATAAAGAATGTCCTGAAATCTTCTGTGTATGAATTGATTGCTAAGCATCCGTGAACTCTAGATTATTATGGACTGCATACACATATGTTACTGGACGATGACTGATCAGAGCTCAAGATTTATATTCTGTGAACAATAATTTGTTTAAAGGCCCCATAACAACACTCAAGGAGGTGGCAAATACAAATGATCTTTGCAAACTCTCTAAACATTAAAGAGGGGTATACTTTTTATGAAACAAACTGTGAGCTTCAGAGAGAATAGGTAGATGTACTAGGACTCTGTGAAACCTTAAAGAATGAAAAAATATTAACATAATATAAATATATATGTGTGTGTGTATATATATATATATATATATATATATTTATATTCTTATAGTGTTTTCCTAATTGCACACCTAGTGCTTTTGCAAAAGTATTCCATTGCATAACAAAACTAAGTATATCAAACACACACAGTATATTATTCAAGTTGTTAGCACACACTAATGTATATAATTGTCACAAATGTTGAATTTCTAGTCCGTAAAAAAAAAAAAAAAATAAATATATATATATATATATATATATTTTTTTAGCCTTTTTTTTTTGGGGGGGTTTTCTTAAGCTTTTTTTTTTTTTTAAATGATGCTGTGACAGGAATGAAAATTGACACTGAAGCTTCACATTTTTTTGTGAATGGGGACAGCATGTGTTTTTAATATTTGTATGTGTTTTTGTATGTTTTTGGTTTTTACCTTATGATCTTTGATACACTTAATTTTATTTGAACTCATTCTTTCACTTTTGGGTTGTGTGGCTACTTCTCAATATTCCCTATATAATGGGGTACTGACATTTCATCACTAATCTAACTAATGGTAGAGTCAGATTTGTGGCAAGAATAGATTTGGAGACGGAACAATAGCTGACATTTTGTCTTTTCACAGTAATTCCTTTATAAGTTATAGGGATATTTTTACATATCTATTTCCGAATAGTATGTGCCATTTGATATTGTATCTAAAAGTACTAACGTATAGATACCATTGCAAAGGTTTCCAGAAAATGAACAAAAACGTTCAACATACCATTGCAATGTTTTTTGTTTGCCCCTGATGCTTTTCATTTTTTTGTGGTCAATATGTATTTGATCCACACGTGCACATAGCAGAAAATACTGCAAAGTGGTTCCCACTAAGAATGTATCACATTATTTTAAAATTGGTAGTTTTCAGTGATGCCTTACAGAGCTCCAATCCAGACTTTTTGTGCCTGAAACCTAAATTGGAAGAAAAATATGTATAGTTTGGTTTTGGTTTTTCCTTAAAACTCTGCCAAAATTAAGTGCTTTTCATGAGCGTCCTATGTGGGAGTACTAGGAAACCTTTAAGACCCAAATAGGTTGCAAATGTCAAATGTGTATTTTTATACCATTGTGTGCCAGTTATGTAAGCAATGCACTGTGTTGGTAATCGCATTGGCACAAATTACAATTTAAGCAGATGTTAAACTTGCCTTTTGAACCATTTATTTTTGGTTCCAGCAAACTACTAATACATGATGCGATTTTCTTGTAAACAGATAATCCCTTTAAAAGTCGTACGGACACTTTTAATTACCCAGATGCCGTGGTAAAAGATTGGATGGGGAATGGTAGTTGTAGTACTTTCTTGGTTCTTATAATGCCGAAGCAGATAACATGACACTTGTTTTCTAAATGTGTAAGTAAATGATTATAATTTTTTTTATTGGTGGGTTGATTTAGTGTTGTATAAAAGTAGATATTTAGCTAATGAGATACAAGGGCCACAGGATAAAGCATTGGAACTTTAATACTCCTGATGTTGCCTAACCCATACAGGTCAAGTTTTTACTTGCCCTACACTGATAGCATAGATGGAAGTTGCTACAGCTAACTATTATGCCACAAAATCCATAAAATCTGAGTTGATAAATGTACACTTTTATTTTGGTTTTATTTAGAAAAGGAGTGTTTCCAACCATGTACTATAATTACTCCTAATGTTTTTATCCATATGTTTTGAATTTATACAACCAAAGATCCACAGATTGTGCTTCTGGGTGTATCTATGTCTATGTAAATCCAGCTGCATACACGTTTTTGTGTATGTGCATTCATATTTTATGCCATGCTGTTAATGTTTTTTTGGGATGTCATCATGCTGCCACAATTTAAAGTAGAAAGGAGACAGATGTTGGAATTTGGTGCAATTTTTTTAATTGATTCATTGAGCATCTGTTTTTTTTCCCTCCCCACTATATAAGTTAATTGGGCTTCACTTTTTCATTTTAAATATTGTTTAGTATCAAATTAAACAGTGATGCATTATTCTTCCGTGTGTCTTGGACTTTAATTTTGTTCATAAGAAGAATGTTGTAGGCCCGTCTGTCACTTTCCAACAATTTGTCTTGGGAAAGAGAAGCCTTTGAAACTGCATAGCTGCATTTCAAAGGAATTCTCAAAGCACCATAACCACTACATCTTTTTGTCACCCTGCCATTATAAATAGTCAAACCTGTTTGAGCTCTTACATGAGGTCCATTGGGCACCAATCCCCACCTCCACCATTAACAATGAAGAACCAGAAGCTCTCTGTCTAAATGAAGTTCTGCACTGTAGTGCTTAGTTTAGGAGAGCTAATGGAAGTTCTCGCTTAGGACTTTCCAGTTCCTTGTTGTCTGCAGTATAGGCAGAAATAGGAGCCCACCAGATTCATTGGCTTCTTACAATGGGTGGGGCACCAGGGCACTTGTGGTACCATAACCACTGTAGTAAACTGTAGTGGTTATGGTGCTTGGAATGTTCCTTTAATGCATGAAAAAAAATTTTTTTTAAATAAACAAATGGTGATTTAATAAATAACTATAAAAAAACCCTTCTGTAATGATCTGCAATGCCTTCTGCTTCCTCAATATCATTTTGGAACAACATGCTCGGTTCTTCCAGCCAATTTTTGTTTTTCATTTTACTTGTATAGGCAGCTTGTATATCATGCTCACTAGCACTGCCATGTTTCTTTATTGGCTGAAATTAATGAATGAACTAAAACATGTTTAAGTCAATGAATGCTACCTGCTGCTTTTATTCACTGGAATGTTTGTTAAATCATTATTTCAAGTCAGTGGAGAAACCGTTGTACACACATGCGTCCTAACTTTTCACTTTCGCTTTCTTTTGGAAAAGCCAGCAAGTGGAAAGTTGCCAGCGTGTGCACTAGGTTGCACAATATTTCTGCAAATATCAATTATTGTTTTTGCATGGGGCGTTAGCAAATATAGAATTGCCCTTGAAATCCTTTGCTATCAATGTACTGCCAGTTAATTATAGATAAAAGAATGAAGTTATTCAACTCCCTTATTGTTAGAATCAATTGTTCCACCTTTGAACCAAGCCACAGTGTGTTTGTTCCACTGTTACATAAGAGTCTCTACATAGGTGCCCCCCATATATATTATATTTTTTTAAATGGCAGAAATTTAATTATTTTATTATCCTTTATGTATACTCAACACATCATTAAGTGTGAATGAAATGTTAAAAATGGGTAAACAAAACATATTTTTCAAAATTTTTTCTTTTAATACATTTCCACATCCAGTGCTACTTAAGAAAAGGAACTCAAAATAGATCATATCAGCCATGTTTTTTTGTTTTTTTTAAATACCACATATGTCTAGGATCTAAAATTACTTTTGACGGATAATGCTAACTGTATACAGACCTAAATTATGCTTACTCTAACTGTATACCTACCTTAACCTAACACTAACCCTAAAACCGCATTAACACATACCCTAATACTAACCATACCCCTTATAAATTCCCTCTGCTAATATCAGTACGGATAGTAGATGTATTTTCTTTGACTGCCATCTACTGGCCCTTTTCAGAATGGAGATCTCACTGTAATGCTGAACCTCCAGCATGCTCCCTAGCACTGATCACAATTGGCAAGGGGCATGCAGGGAGAACCTTTGTCTTCTGTTGAATAACTCCCACAGCTGACAGCTAGCGATTAACCATGACTGAGCTTGATCTGCTTAGCCACAGTGATTTCAAAAGGCTGTATACATTGCATATATATCAGTCAGTCTGGGACCATTAAATATTAAAGCCCATGTATTGATTGATACCGGGATAGCCTGTTCATACCATGTTGCAGCCACTAAGATTCAAATCCCCATTTAAAGGACTGTATGCAACACTCACTTGGAGCGCTGCATACAGCTTATCAGTTTGGAGCCACTAAAGATGACGGAGCCCCAAGTACCTCTCATATGTTGTTAAAGCCTGTTTTTTGTAGGACATAATGACACGTCCTAACATCGTTATGGGGCAAAAACTCACTTTTCTCAATTTTAAATGTTTACTTATCAATATATTTAATAATTATGTATTTGTCTAGTATGAAAAATAAAGTTAAATGTAGAAATCAACACTTCTTTATCCTGCAGCTGGGCACCTCCACCTAAACCTGGCTGTCGGCATAAAGAAAGCATACAGAGAAGAAGAGAAATTAAACAATATTTCTATTGAAATTATGGTTCACCTTTATATTTACTCCGAGGGTATAGCCATATATAAGTGTGGTTTACTCTTAAATACAATTTACGTAAAAGTGTGCCACTGTGCAAAATATCTTTTTAAGGTTGTTCATAAAGTAAGTATACTGCTTATGTACACTTGTTGAGTTTTTTATGATGTACAATTTTTTGAGGAGCTATAACATTATGTAAAATGTAATAATGTCCAATAAAGAGATTAAATATAAATAACAATGGTTTATCAGTAGAAGGTGGTTTTGTTGGTGACTAAGCAAGAACCAAGTTTGATCCATCCACTTACCTCTGATTACATTAGTTGACATGAGTTTTCTAACATTGGTACCAATGGATGGAGCAAGCATGGACAAAAATTTATTTATTTTGAGAACTGGATAGGGATGTAATTTACCGGGCAGCTAAAAAAAAAAGCTGTGCTGCAGGAAACCTATACATAAATATGGTTTACAAAGAAACGTTAAAGGGACATGCAACACATTTAGACAACGGTCTTACTCAAAAACCTTAGCTTTGAATGAGACAATTGCCTCACTTTGCAGGTTGAACAAAAAGCAGGTAAATATGGTGGTTTTGTTCATATTTACCTGCTTTTTTGGTTCTTTTAAATTTGCTTACCCAGTCTAGGAGGGACATTGATCTAACCAATCATTGTGCTATCCCTAGAAATGCTGTAAAGGTGCTTTGTACATGCATGACAGATTTCCACATGTGCAGTTGGAAGCTCTCTTCACATTGCAACA